TTAGATCTTTTAGTAAAAGCTGAAGCCAATCTGAATACTGTTTTGAATAGGCCGAAGATTTTTCTATAAAATGAGGTGCATATCGACGTTTCATGAGAAAAGTTCATAATAGGGTTTCTGGAAAACCTGACCGCTGGAAAACCAAGTCCATGGTTTTTGGTCAGAAAATTTTCCAAACCATATAGTCTGATAGAGCATAGAATTCTGAACACAATAAGACGTCTCCTGAATGTCTGTAATGCCTTTTTACGCAGCTGCAGTGGATTTACGAACGGCTACAACGGGCGTTAAAATTATCAGAACATTACGGTAACAAAGCATTTCAGACAGCCGGGAAACGTCTTATTGTGTTCAGAATTCTATGCTCTATCAGACTATATGGTTTGGAAAATTTTCTGACCAAAAACCATGGACTTGGTTTTCCAGAAACCCTATTATGAACTTTTCTCATGAAACGTCGATATGCACTTCATTTTATAGAAAAATCTATCTTATTTCAAATATTTATATAATCACCGTAATTTTTCGTGTTTTTTACTACTTATTATGTTTTTTCCACGGTTTAACATCATTTAGATCATCATTCGTCTCCATCCTATCATTTTTACTTGAGCTACGTTTACTTCCAAAACCAGCTACAACTTACAAAATAAACAAAAATTAGAAAATTTAGATGGGAAGTACTAATTTCTTGTCAATTAAATTAACCACTATAAAGTGACGGGACTTAATTTATTTTCACTCACCTATCTACCGATATTTCAAGAACTGTTATTTTATTGTACGATTGTATCTGATTATTTCCTACCACTATAATGAATCGCTACTATACCGTTGTTCACTCAAATTTTAGAGAAAATTGGCTTCAACAGCTGACTTAAGCTCTTCTTCATCGACTGACATATTATGAAACTCATTTGCATCTTCATTGGAAAGTGGATAACAATTAATCATTGAAATTTTCCTAACGTTTCGAATCTATAATGCTTTGGCGTTCGCCAGTTCAGTAGTATTACAAAGATATATAAAACGTACTTAGACCACTACGATCATTCCCTATGCAAAATTTCATTGATGAGTCGCTGCTATCTGTGTTTATGTTAGTGAGATTCTTTCTAAACTCGCTTCACAACATGACTGACGAGGGAACCTTTCGAGGTGATTAAACGCTTTTTGCTCGATATCTAGTGGGTTATAGGTTATCGACCATCTGATTACGAATATGACCGTGGGAATTGCCCTTAGCCATTCAAATACCTGGTTTTCTAGAAAACCAGTTTTTCAGAAACTCTAAAATATAACCCGAACCTTTCTTAATGAGGCATGCTTATAGCCCGCACATTTCTGATTAAAATGAGATATCTCCCAGCTTTACACGATCTTTCTTTGCAAAGTTATAGAATTCACAAGAAAAGCCCTAAATTAATTTCTTCCTATTTCTGTAGCCTTGAGCTGAGATGGAACATTCAGGGCTTTTCTTCTAAATTCTATAACTTTGCAAAGAAAGGTTGTGTAAAGCTACATTTACGAGTTACATTTTAGAGTTTCTGAAAAACTGGTTTTCTAGAAAACCAGGTCTTTGAATGGCTAAGGGCAATTTCCATGGTCATATTCGTAATCAGCATGGTCGATAACCTATAACCCACTAGATTCCGAGCAAAAAGCGTTTAATCACCTTGAAAGGTTCCCTCGTGAGTGATTTGCCAATAGTTTATTCACTGTCAAGCCACATAAACAGGGAATTATTCCACAAATTACGATATATAAATATTACTATTAATTCCTATACTTAAAAAAAGTAAACACAGTATCTACCTAAGTAGAAACAACATACTTCAGAAGAACATAATCATAGAAACCTCAAAATCTTTTAACTTAATTGAAAATCTCCATTGTCTTACTTTTAAAAAAAAGTTGTATCAATAAATCAATAGTGTCAAACGCATTATGTAGTAAATTTTAATAAAATTAATTTTCTACTCGTGTTGCTGTAAATTTTCCATGATTTAATCAATTATTTTACCATTGAGTGCTTTTGTGTAATTAATACGGGATAAATGAATTTTACAATTGTTTTTTAAAATTTAAAGACATTTTGACATTTTTTTTCCTGATGTTATAAACACTTATTCATATTCACTTGTTTTCTGATTTATAACATCTTTCAATTTATTCGAGGTCATTTCAATCTTAAGTTGAATAAAAGACAATCAACATTTTCCTATACGTTTTTAATATTGTTCTCATGACCAACGTCAAAATACAAAAACAAAATACATCGAACAGAAAAATCAAGAGTAGTTCGAGCCGGCTAGACAACTTCAATCATTGTAAAGCATATAGACTAGAAACAGTGAGTTTAGCTTTTGCGGTTCACTACAAAACAAAAAGTTTATATTTCGGAAACTATAATTTATTTTATTTTCAATAGTTTAATTTTTAGAATACTAAAATGAATGTATTCGCTTGTATTATGTATGAGTAAGGTTTATATTATCTCATCATTAATTATACTTTTCATTACGATATATTATTCAATTGTCATCATTTACATTTGTTATGCAAACAAGCGTTTTAAACAGATACAAAAGAAAAAACACATAGTGACTCAATGCAATTTCTCAATGTGCAAATATATCTGTCACTCTAATCTTAATCTAAACTTATGAAAAATACTTAACAAGTGAAACGAAAAAAATAAAATCGTAACAATGAAGAATAAATAAAATGACATTCAATTTTGAGTACAATAATTAACGTGTGAAAAGACAAAAAATAGCTACATACACAATAATTAATAATTTTAAATTCAAGTTTGCCATTTGACTAGTAGAAAAAAGGAAACATTCACAAAAGAAGGGAAAAAAAGCAAAGATAAATTCAATCTTTCATTTTTTTAGCATAAAAAATCAATACATCATTCTATGCTTTGTCAATACAATGAATACTCAAAATGCAAAAAAAAGAGCGCAAACAATACAATAATTTCTAACAAGATAAAAAGAGAACAAAAAATTGGTTAATAAAAAATAATTTACATAACAAGGGAAGATATTTAACACTGAAGTATAATTTTAGAAAAAACTTGACATTGTCAAGAGTTAAAACTCTTTTATTTTTATTACACAGTTACAGTAAGAAATAAATGCAATAGATATCTTGTAACATTTATCGATTATTCAAATGTGAACTTTGACGAACAGGGTTATTATCATTACAACTGCCTGGAACAACAAATAAATCAGTATATGATGGTAAATTATCGTCCGCTGCGTCTAAAATAAGAAATATTTTAATAATATTGTAAACAATAAGATACAAACGTTCCGTCTAATTAGCTTATAAACTAACGTATCATCTGCATAAGTAGAACAATCAATTCTTAAATTATCTTACCCATACAAACGTCGCTTTGATGATGTTGGCCGTTATAGCCAGTAGATACAGGTGAAAATAAATAGGATGCTTGTATTTCTGGATGATTGTTGTTTGATGGTATTATTAAATGCTGTGGTACAGGAGGATTTGACGATGATTGGTTTCTCAATAAACAATCACTGTTGCGCGTAGTTTGTGTTATTTCTGGCGAAGACAGAGAATCTATACAAAATAAAAAGATTAAAATAATCTATTGTATTTTTTATTCAAGAAAAACAATTACCCAAAAATTTATTCCGTTTTTTTGGTGGCAATTCATGTGGTGCTGCATCAAGCATAATACGTAACATCGTATCAATTTCTTGTCGTGTTTGAATACTGTTTGCAGTAAAATTAGGTAAACCGACATTTATGTCTGATGTTCTTTGTTCACTGCCATGATTTGCGTCGTTGTTATTATTGTTGTCATGAGGAAGCTGATCAACGTAACCCTAAAGCAGTTGAAAGAAAAAATACGATGAATATTTCTCATAATAATCGCTCAGGACATAGTTTGGAACAGAACTGATTGGTTATGTCGATATTAGAGGGGCATATCTCAAATGAGAAAGGTCATCTAACGACAAAAAGTTCGTGCACCATTCGAATTACAATACTAATACTGGAAACCCAAGTCGAAATAAAGCTTTCTATTGTTATTGTTCCGATTTACCTGAAGTTTTTCAATTATTGCTGTCTGTAATCTCAGATTGTATAATGCAATGTGGCAATATGATGATAAACTAGTTTTCATTTCCTTAACGGCTAATTTCTGATGCTTAGCCCATTCGTTTTGTACTGAAACAGAATTAGAAATATAAATACTAATTTGATTCATTCATACTATTCACACTGCTCATACCTTGTGTCAGCAATTCTTTTTTTGTGTGTTCTGAGCAATGATTTGATACTGCTTCATCAAATACCTAAAGCAAATGATTAATGGCTACTGTTTCTTGCCAACTTTACACTAACCATTTTGGTCTTTTCACAATCACCCTGAACATGATCATTCAATTTTTGTAATGATTCTTGCAATGCATCGAATGCATATTCTAAAATTAAAGAATGAATACATAGCTAACTATAGGTTATCTTTCCAACATTCGAACAAAAAAAAAGGAGCATAACAAACCATGAAAAATTCTCGATGCTAACTGATGTCGATTGGCTAAAGAACCAATTAACCCATTTATTTCCTAAAATGACAAGAAAAAACGAAGAATAGAAATTTAAGCAGAAAAAAATAAAATGACTAAATTTAAAATTCAACAGAAAAAGAGATCTTTTCTGTCAGATATTTATGTATATTTTTCTGCAAAAAAACATTTGGTCACCTGTAGTGGTTTGTTTCCTGATAACTGTCCAATATCATTGATTAATCGTGCAACTATAAATCAAATTATATTAGATAAAAAAACTAAACATAAACTATGTATGCAAAGAATCATTTTGGAGACGTCTTTTACCATGAAGTTCCGTATCGGAACCATCGAGATTTCGTTGTAATGTTTTTTTCGTTCGGTTAATTTGAGAGATAGTGGAAATTAATTTTCTCTGATATTTAACGGTATTATTGAACATTTGTCCATTATTTTCATTAGCATGATGAGATTTACCACTATAAATTAAAAATAAAATCGTATAACAAAAATAGATAAACAGCAAAAAGATATCGTTCAAAATGTACTAACAATAATTTTTTTCGCCAACTGGTCATGGTTGTGAAAGGACTAGATATTTCTAATTTTTAATTTCTACAAAAAATAGAAAAAAACATGAACGATTTCATTGATAAACGGGAAAGGAAAACCACGAGAAAGATATACATTAAAATAAAAGTAAGTGTTGAATGTTCTATTCCTAGCTTAAAGAAATAATCATCTTAAGATAGAAGGGAAATTCTATCGATGAGCAGATCATCAACTCTTGGATTTTAAAGTGAAGTGAATACAGTAAATTTATCCAAAACGTAAAAACTAAGCTCCCGTTCATATGCACATTTTATCTCATCTTAATTTTTCTCAAAATATAATAAGTATTCATGTTATGAAAACTCGTAACATTCACATCATTGGACGACTCTTTGTGAGTCAATTACAGCCTGAATAATATTAGTTAGTCATAAACAAAAAAAAATCTCTCGTCTAGTATAAGCAGTTATTGCATATATGTTATATAGTCTAAAAATCTTTACAAGGTAAAACACGTGTGCTATGATAAGCAGTGGAAGTTTTAAACGAGATTAATTTAGTGTTTTAACAGTTTTTGTAAACGATTTTGTTATTTTACACTGGTCTATAGAAAAAGATCACCTACCACATGCAAAATAACTATGATATGTCCTAAGGAGGCCTGTCAACAATAGATTTGTGCATTGTCTACTGTTTTCAAAACACATGGAAATCTGGTATGTCTGCGAAAAATGTTAGTTCTGAAAAATATTCATGAGATTTGCAGGCTGAGATGATCAAAAGATATCACGATCTCTGTTAAACATTCTATTGGCTTACGCATTCATAATGGTATGCTGGACAGTTATTGCAGTTAATTTTCTGAATCATTTAGTCTAATAATAGTAGTGCAGTACAGTAAGAACTTGTCTATCGATATGTCACATTCTTATAAAACATAGTGAAGACTATACTTGAAGATACGTTATTTATATAGATGAAATTGGTGAAGGAGAAACACAATATCAGACACCCAAACAAGTCTGTTGAGCGTTCTATCCAATCTTGTGAGAAAAGTTTTGAATATATACGAGTTTAAAGTTGAAATCTTTTCATTCGTCTTTGAATGTTCGGAAAGCCTCCGGAGAGAGAATATCTTTTTTAACATGTGAAGCTATAACGGGTGGTCCAGATTAAATGCCGGCCTTTGCAAGGTTTCTTTCTCGGGTGATGTTTGATCAAAAAATTTCGTCTGGATCCTAAAAGATAGAGACTTTTGCGTAGATTTTAGTCATATATTCCTTTAAAAATAAATATTTGCCGTTTTTTTACAGTATTAGAAATGCTGGAAGTCATAAAAGCAGAGTTGCTCAGCACTTTGTATACTATACAATAAAGTGTAATTTTTAGTATTTAAACTAGTTTTGTTGTGCGATTCAAACAAAACATTAAAAACTGGAATTAAGCCTTAATATTTTAGGTACAAAACTAAATTTTGGGACGATGTTTAACGGTCACGGAAATAGGATACAAAATATGCCTCTTTATCTGGCTTTTGGCGCCTTCCATTGTATAAGTACATATCATAAATTGATCATTTATTACCACAGACAGTAAATTCATGGAAAGAATAACATCTGCCAGACTTTGAAATTCTGCATCTGCTCATATTAAAAAAATAATTTTTCTTCGGGAATTTTTGCAAAACACCGCCAACAAGTCGAAGATGTTTTTCAATGTTCGAAAGCAGGAACAAACATACCATCAGATACACCGAGAAATTCTGCATCTTTTATTACCAGAAACAAATTTTAACACTTATCTAACTGAACAAAAATTTGTTTTCAAAACTTTCTAATTCTTCAGTTCAGCAACGCTGTTTTTTTATGGCTTTCAACATTTCTAGTGCTGTAGAAAAACGGTCAATATTTATTTCAAAAGGAATATATGACTAAAATGTACGTAAAATTATCTATCTTTTAGAATCCAAACCAGAGCTGCCAGATGATCCGCATTTTGCGGACAAATTCCGCTTTCTGTAGTTTTTTTCGCAAAGCGTCCGCTGTCCGCACAATTTGTCCGCTTTTCGAGGATATTTTTGTTTTCGTCCTTTTTCCTGCAATGAAGTTTTTTACATTTTCTCATAAAAAACTTGCCACCAAAAAAAAAGGCGGCTGAATGACCTGTCAAAACAATGCTTTTGCAGCTTTTATGAAACAAATGCACACTGTTTTGAGAACTAAATCAGAAATTTGTCTCGGAAGTGAGCGCTAACAGAAAACTATTAACTTGCCTGAAGTGCTGCTGACAGGGAGTGTGAAAAATAGTGAAATACTAAATCTTCAAGGAAGCCAACTCGGTCAGAAAATCTTAACCATTAAGTGCTGTCGTAGGCGGAAAAGTTTCGAATTAAATTTTATCTTGCCATTCATAACTATTGAAATTTATGACGGGTGATCAAAAACCCGCATCCACAAAAAGCCAAGATCGATTCAAATTGAGAATTAAATGATGTTTTGTACTTCTTTTGTGTTTCTTAACTGGAACCACCATAAAGCGCCAGAAGATTTTTTTCTGATACTCTTTGTATTTGGTGAACAATAAACTAATACGATGGAAAACGCGTTTCCACTTTTTTCCCGCATTTTGGAAAAAATTTCCGCTTTTTCGATTTTTTATTCCGCTTTTCTGACCTAAGCATCTGGGGCCTGTTTCTTAAAAAAACTTAAGTAGAAAATCTGACTTAAGTCCAAAAAAGTCTTTGTCTTTTTTGACTTAAGTAAGATTTTCTACTTAAGTTTTTTTAAGAAACAGGCCCCTGGCAACTCTGATCCAAATATTGCAAAGATCGGCACTTTAATCTGGGCCATCCGTTATAGTACTCATAAAAGTAGCAAAGCGTACGTTTATTTTTTATGCATTGAGCTTTGTTTTATATTTCTGTTTACTTTCACGTCAGGGATGCAACAAAATCTACAAAAGGCAATTTCATCGCCAAAAAACACTTTAACAGTGTTTTTTTCTCTTCTGAAAACATTTTGGAAGGGGGTCTGCGATCGCAGCAAGTGCACGTCCCCTAAATCCGTCACAGTTCTTTTCGAAAAATTTATTTTTCACTATTCCTATTTGAGAAGCGGTCAGTTTTGAAAACTTTCGCTAACAAGCAGTTCCTATATGTTACTCTGATCCAGCAGCTGGAGAGATGACTCAGTCACAAATCCATTCCTATGAGAGAAAGAAAGATGCCGCTCTTTGAATACTATTCATTTGTACTTTTATGAATACTGGAGGCAGGTGAGCAGAAAGAAACATGGTGGTAATGAGGTGCTTTAAAAATTTAATATGAATTGTTTCTATTATATTTCTGATTTGTTTATTTGGTCCATTTTATGGATGTTTCAAATCGAAAACGTATGCAATGGTTTGCTTGCGTTTTTGAGAGTAAGAAAGTCTAGAGTTACTGAAATTGTTGAAGTTTTTCACATTGAATTCAGTTTTCGTGAATAAATACTACTACTAGTTAAAATTGCTGAAGTGTAATTTTTCACTATATAATGAGTTACTTCTTTCATACGTTATGCTTTGTGACCTTTCGATATTAATCAACGTTTTCTTCTAGATCGAATCTAACAATGATCTCTATGAAAAATTATATTTTTAAATTTTCTTTATCCTTATTATTATGTTTATTATTTTTTGAGAGAAATTCTTTATATATTAATTCTCAATTTGAATGGATCGAATATGATAAAATTGATGAAATAATGGAACGTATTAATAATGTAAATAGTGGAAATTGTTTTCAAAAACAACCAAGTGAACTTGTATTACCCGAAGAAAGTGTCTTTCAAAAACCTTCTATTGAAATGTTAAAAAAAGATATCATTATGAGAAATCGAACACAGTTGTTGCATGTTAGAAATATAGCTCATCGTAATGCTTTATTATACAGTTATTTATTTCAACGTTTATTCGATTTTGAAGAGCCTGGTCTAACATATATATTGTTACATAATGTAGCTGATGTCACGGGTGGTTTAAGTTTAATTAATGGTAGTGGAATATTTTTTGATCAAGATAAATATTGTAAGATGATAACTAATTATATTAGATATAGAATGAGAAAATAGTTCTTTTTCTTCTTCTAATTCAGATCCACATTGGTACAAAAATTATTTTAACAAAACGATACCCTATTTTGGTCCTTATGCGTGGCGTGCGGATGACTTTTATGATGCATTCAACTGGAAAAACGAATGGACAAATCAGACAATACAAGAAGAAGATATTGGAGCGGGTAGAAATCGGCAATATACCAGTCGATATAATCGAGGAAATGAATGGTATAGTAAATGGTTACCGGATCAAACAAGAAATGATCAAGGGAGAGGTAAAAAAAAATTATTTATGTACGGTAATATAAAAGTCCAGCGAAGAGCATTGTGTATGCTTGAAGCAATCCTTCTGTTTCAGTCAGTATCTTCACATTTATTTATTTGCCCTTGTTTAGGAAAACAATGTCTTCTTATTCTGGTAGAGAAATCCTCAAAAAGTACTGTGAGACATATTGACGCCTCACTCTTAGTATATAATAGACACCATGTTGCTTTACTTTGATTATTATTAGCTGATCTTTCCTACATAGTCTAGTAGTGTTAGTTTGTATATTTGAAGTCTTCTTTATCCTTCCGAAGCCTTTAATGTTTATAAGACTATGCCTTTATATGATACCATTGTATGGCTATTGATTGAACAGTGTCTAAAATTTTTTTGATTAGTCATTTTTCTGACAGAAATACATTGATTTAAAGTTTATTTATTTTTTAAACTTTATTTTTTATATTTTATTACATATATCTGCTCTAATGTTTAGGTAAACCTGTTCACACTGTTCAACTTTACTTGGCAGAACGGATGTATAAATTGCGTGATATGCCAGAAAATATTGAATTTTATGGTTTGTTATATAGTTACAGTCATAGAATTGATGATAAAGAAAATTTTTTGTCTAGGTCCACCGCATCCCGAAGATCCACAAGGTCCAACGATTTGGACTAAACCCTATTTTGATTGTGGTCGTTCGAATAAATGGATAATCAGTGCTGTATCACCCATCGTCGATATTTATCCAAGACATACGGAATATCGTCACTTACAAGCCATGCGAAATTTGGGTGTGGCCGTGACTGATGTTGATTTTATCATGTTAGATATTAATCAATGTGAACAAAATTCAATGGGAAATACTCAGTCAAATGATCCACAATCAAAATCGCCAAATATGTTTGGTGGAACAGATAAATGTAAAGAAACAACACGTTGTGAACCATTGTTTGGATTTGGTTTTCGTCGTGGTGGTAGGTATCAATAATTAGTACCAGACACTTATTTATCGTAATATTGTTATTTTTTCTTCTCAAGGCTATCAATGTTTATGCAAGCCAGGATATCGATATCCTCCATATCAAGATGGGCCGTTTAAAGGTTACGTAATTGAAAAGGCAACACGAGAAGAGTATGCAACTAATTTTGATTGTTTAAGAGTCGATTGTAAGTACACTAATTGGAAAAGACATGGTTATATTGCTCTCATTACTCGTTTTAGTATATCAGCAGATTCCATTCAATGTTTTTGATTCAAATGTTGAAATTCGTGCGTCGAATTCACGTCGACGTCGTTCGATAAATGATGAAAATGCGACTAATAAACCTCAGTTAGCCACCGATGATGATGATAATGAAGATATACGTAACATAGTAGATCCAACTACCGAGACACCGTCATTTGCTTATTTTAATCAAACAAAGATGCCTGCCATCTCTGACTCATGTATGTGTTTTATACATATTATTTACGTATATATTTTTTATGATAGACTGCCATTATTTCACTACCGATAGATTATTGAATGTTTTTTTACGTCAGAGTTTTTAGAATCTGTTTTCATCTATTTTTAGTATTTCACGTCAATCCATTAACAATGTTATCATCTGTATCCACGTATTCAACTTCTGTGTTGAAATCTTCTCTGGTACAATTAGCTTACATGTCTGGTCAATTAGTCACAGGTTATGATGATGATAATAATGATAATCCAAATTCGAATAAAAACGATAATGTAAAAAAACGTCGTTCAAAACGCTATGCTTATGAGCGTACACCACGTGTTGCCGCTATATTTCAATTATATGATGCACTTCAACGTGATCCAAATTTGTGTGAAAAAATGACTGAAGATCAATTAACATTACCTGGTGATGTGTTATATGATATCGATGTACAATTTGAATCACAAGCTCGCTTGGCACTAACATTGTCACATTTCCTTTCAAGTTTTTATCAAGTTGTTAATCCAGATGAAGATTTTCCATTGAGAAAAGCTGAACTGGAATTGACGAGTGAACAATTGATTGGTGAAGTATTAGCAGCTGCAGGAGCAGATTACAAATTACAAGGAGTTGGAATATTTTTTGATGTAAGTTCGGTATACGATAATGTTTTCATAAAAGATCATTTCAATTTATTTATTTTTTGTCTACTAGCGTGGAAAATTTAGAAATCATCATCTCCCATATTTTGGTCCGTATGCTTATCGAGCTGACAGTGATGTTAGTCGAAAATATGTAGTCCTTGATACTGCTGGTTTGCCTGATGGATATGAAAATGAAGTTTGGTTCAAAGTAAAGATATAGAATTATTTTTGTTTAGATAGATATTTAACAGTTATTGCTTACTCTCTATTTTAGACGATGAAAGCACGTTGGGCAACAAATGCGGATCGATCTGAATTACGAGAATATTGGCTCAAATTACTTATACGTAGTGATTATGTAGGAAATGCATTGGTTCATCATGAATCTGGATTTCCATTATACTCTTATGCACCAGAACTAAAGTATGAAATCGTCATATAACTGCAATTTACTATATTCTAATATTATTCTGAAATTTATAGACATGGTCAATGGTTTCCACCAGTATTTCAGTGTAATAGAAATAATACAGTACCACGAAGTTGGATAGTTACTTATGCTGTACCATTTTTTGGCCTTGATGTTCTTGGTATTAATCTTGAGTTTAAGTACGTTTTGAATTTTGATACCTGGTATGTATTCAAAACTGTTTTCATCGATTTCTTTTAGAGGAGTTGTTCGAGTGGATGCTTATCTTGGTTATTTGGATATTAATCAATGTCAAATGCCACATTATGTACCTAATGCATTCAAAGGAAGTGATCGCTGTGATTATCAAAGTACTGTGGTACGTAATAAATCTTGATACTGAGTTCGCTTCACGTTCAATCTTATCTTTTTTTTATTTTATTTAGTGTGAACCAATTATGGGTCGTAAATTTCTATTGGGCAAATATAAATGTCGTTGTCGACCAGGCTATGAATATCCGTTTTTAGATCAAAATGATTTTTTTAATGGAGATCAAATGAATAAAGAATGGGATATCATGATTAACAATAGTTCAATGTGGAGCAGGTATAATGAGAAGAATTAAATTGATTAGAATAGATAGTTCTCTCTTTTCTATCTGTTTAGATTTGATCAATTAAAATGTCGTATTGCTGTTGCCAGTTCAATTTCATCAACTAATCTGATTTTATTGACTTTAACCATATTGTTTTCATTATTTATTCGAATGAATTAAATTATGTATAATCTTTTATTTCCTCTTCATTCTCTGTAAAAGACAATTCTCCATTCAATCAGTCGGTTTTATCACTTTATATACATAATATTTTCTTCTTTTTTTTCACAGTATCTTACAATCTTTCTGTGCATTGATGGAGAAGCAACAATGTTTCAGCTTGTTAAAAGATAGTCAGAAACATCAATGCCAATCGTGTAGAATAGTGTGTTTAAAATAATTGTTTTATAAGCAGAGATACCTTTTAGAATATATTCTAATTTTCTATAAGTCCATTTCAATATTCCATTTAGGTTTATGCCTATTGTACATTATTTTCATGATAATTAATAGAATTTTTTCTTTTATACATATAGATACTATTTTTTTTTTGTTAATGTGCAGTTTTGTTCAATACAGATATATTTTGTGATCTGTTTTGGAGTTTTATCTTCTGAATACATTCCATTTCTTTTCGGTTTATGGTTTTATATTTCTAATTGTTAACTTGTCTTAAAGTTATCTCTTTATTTTTTAGAGAGATCTATGCGTTTCTTTTATAGCAACCAAAATATTCGTGTTTTTTAAAAAAATTTTATTATGACACTTTTGTATTGTTTTTGGTAGAAGTTTTGTACATTTATTTCAATATTATATAAGTGGTTAATCTCGACTTTACTACGATTTTTATACAATTTTTTTTTCTCATTTATTTTATTTCAATACGTCCATGAAAGTATAAAAAATAAAACATACTAAAACAATTATTTAGTGAAAAAGCCAATTGAAACAATTTAAAAAAAAACTAAGAACTAATTGAAAAATCGGCGCCGGTCAGCCCATGTAGTTAGATGTCTAGTTTAAAATAAAACAAATTCGAACTCTCCTGCTTGTAGTATATTAAAAAACCTTGGGAAAAACTTCAGATATAACTTCCATGTAGAGAAAACGCTGTGCATCGGTTAGTCCATTTTAGGACTTATAGGAAAATGGTTGTAACTTTTTGATGCAAGGACATACAGAATTGGATGAGATCTTAAATTGAACAGAAAAGTTTGCTCTACAAATCTACGCGTTTAGAAAAAAATTTAATTGCATGTAGTATCCAGAAGTAAAACTGTTATTTGGAGATCCTGTTTTAAAAATAATAAATAAAAATTTTGGCTCCTAGAAAACTTGCTCGAAAGCCGCGAAAAATCATTTCTGGACTGAAAGCGATACAGATTCTGAAAGTAGACGCTTCAGGCTAACTGTGCAGCCAAGTACTTATCTCAAAATCGTTTTTGACATCGATTTCTGAGGGGAACCCTTAACGAATGTCAAAAATGTCTTATTATCGATCAGCTTCACCAAATACAATATCCAATGTTTCAATAATAGCAACTAAATCTGCTAACATATGTCGTCAATTTATACGATCAAGTCCTGTCTAAAGGAATAAAATAATCACCTGTGATTTTCGCTGGTTAGTAGAGGAGACTTTTTAACATAACGGTTTTCTAGAAGATCTCTAGAGAACCTTTCAGAAAGCACTTAGTATTTTTGAATTTTGACGGCAGTGGCGTATAACAGCCCCCAATAAATGTATATTTTGAAAATTTCAAGCACTCAGCGTATTTCTAAAGGGATTTTCGAAAGATCAACTTTTTATTGCAGCATATAGAGCGGCATGAAAAACATAAAATGGTTCTAAAAATGTTTTCTTTTCAATATCAGCCAAATCTAAATGGCACATTTTTGTTGGGTATCCTTAACGCTATGAATTTTTTCTGTGCTTTGACCACACGTATAATATCTTAGTCGACATATTTTGGTTCGTAAATTACGAATATGGTGTTAAAACTACTTGTTAATGATCAAAAGGGAAGAAAAAACTCAACATATCAACAAATCGAAAAATTTTAACAGCTTGTTCGGTCAAAACCGATTGCCGATTCGGAATCGGCAATCGTAATACATAATGTTCAAAATCGAGTAATGTTTGACGATGAAAAAATTTGTCCAAATGGAATGGTAACGGCTGTGGTGCCCTTGGTTCCCAGGTCGACGAAAACTGGCATTTAATTGTCCATTAACAGCCTGTTAACTGTATGCCAAAAAATAGCCTGTTAACTGTGTAAAAATGCAATGAAAATTGGCATTTAACAGCCATTATAATGACTTTCTTTTGACTTTGAAATAACGGTGAAAATCATGCCGTATTATAGTCAATGTCCGAAAAAAATGGCATTTTCGTCCATTTATTAGACCGCGTTAACTAATGCCAAATAAATGTGTCTATTATGTAATAAATGCATTTAAACGTTCGGAGTTATAATGGCGAAAACGGTCTAAAAATCGGGCCCAGTGTCAATAAAAATTCCATTCAAATGCTTGTTAATAGCGTATTAAATGGCGTTTAATTGGTAATTAATTACACCGTTTTCGACGTCCTGGGGGAGTAAGCAGCGGTAATTGCTTTGTTATTCGCTAAAATAGAGGCAAAGTATAGCTTACTTTTAAACTCGAGAAATATGCAAGGACTAGACTGATCCAACAATGACTAATCTTCCTGTTGAAGAATTGGCATTTAACAGCCATTACAATGACAATTTTTTGACTTTGAAATAACGTTGAAAATAATGCCAGATTATAGGCAATATCTGAAAAATTGTCATTTTACGGATACCATTAAATTGCATTTTCGTCCATTTATTAGACCGCGTTAACTAATGCCAAATAAATGTGGCCGTTAAATGTCCGTTTTTTCTCCATTTCAAAATGGCAAAAAACTGGTCATAAAATGGCATTTAACAGCCAATTTATGGTCACCAAGTCGTTCACCGTTTTATTCTGGCGTCATGAATAGTATAACTGACTCTGATTTTCCTAAAATAATTTAAAGTGTTTCTCTTCTTCAATTGTACGAGTCATAGAAATTTGCCTCGAAGAAGTGGTCTATGGTTCTTGACTCGATGCAGGTGATAGTACTTCGGGTTCAGAAGATATTTTTTTGACATTTTCTAACGGTCTAACAATTGATATTTAAATGGCAAAAAAATGTGACCAGTAGGGTTACTAGTAGCAGTTAAATGCCTGTTACTTGACCGTTTTTTGACATTTAAAAAAATGCGAAATAAATGCATTTAAACGTTCCCAGTTATAATGGCAAAAAACGGGGTCAAATGTCATAGAAATGCCATTTAAATGCTTATTAACAGCGTATTAAATGGCATTTAATTGGCAATTAATTACACCGTTTTCGATGTCCTGGGTTGTTGTTGATCATGAAGTTCATTAAAAATACGATCATGTTGTTGCTGTTGTTGATCAACAGCATCAAAAATAAATAAATTTCGGCGATAAGTAAAACCGACGATTCGTTCTCCATAGTCGATTTGTCTTGTGCGCGATAACTTTGGATCGGGGTACTTCAGAAAAAAATTTGCTCATAGTCTTGCTCATAAATTTTCGAAAAGGTCGCTGCATGGAACCACAGGCAAAATGACATCGAAACATTTTTCTGAAGTACCTCGATCGAACAGTTATTGCATACAAGATAATCGACTATGGGAAGACGAATCTGCAATCGGTTTTGACCGAACAAACTTTTAAAAGTTTTCGATTTGATGATATGATCTAAGCCGAAAAGTATCTATTAGATACTTTTCGGCTTAGATCATACCATCAAAGTACCCGATAATTAAATTATGGGATACTTTTTTTCAATAAAAAATTATTTTCCTCTAGACGCGATGAATTTCAGATCCCCAAATCAACACGGTAGATGAAGTTCACACTTACGCAGTTTCTGACGAAAACTGAATTCGATTTTGTATCTGGTCTAGATTTTACGAGGATTTTACTTCGCGTTTCCAACATTATACTATGTTTGTATAAGGTTTTAGGTGCTCAGCTAATTATTTTATTTAATCTGTTAACTAATCATTCTTCCTTTTCTTGAATAGTCCTTTGACTCATTCTATTAATTGGTAATCTGTCAAGTTGATCTCTATGATTTTCTATAACTAGAGTCATCTATTATTCGCGTTAACAATTCCTCTCATACTTTATTCAATTATACATTTATATATAACCAATAACTTTTCTTTTCCGTTCTGCTATACGTCTATCTAACCTTATTGCTACTGTTACGCAGGGGCGTTATGTGATCAATCTGTAGTACCCAGAAATTTAACAAAACAATGCGACAGACAGATAGCAGCGCAGGGTCTGACTAATGGCTGAAGTAAACACTGGATAGGAAAAAAGCGTTTAAAGCAAGCAAACTAGCTGCAGCTATTTACATCATGATATTAAAAAAGGGAAGCGCGTGTTCTTTCAAATCCAGGGATGAAAATAGTGGGTGGAAGGACAATGTGGAGTAGCTAAGTAATTATTAGGAATTTTATTTCTCTTAGTAATCTTTTAATGAAAAATAATTTTTTTTTGATAGCGAGAAGTTTTTTCACCATCTCATACCACGTATAAAGAAAAAGTTTTCTCATCTCAGTCTCATATCCGAATGCTGTTTATGACTGTGTTCAAATCCCTATTTTGCGCGTTATCTCGCTCTGTGTAGAGTAGCAGAAATAGCCGTCGAAGTTAGCCAGTTGTTGAAAATTGTGAGCCGATTTGGCTTGACTTTGTTCAACCTTATTTAATACTTCGTTCTTTACAAAAAATAGCTTTTTCATTCATAAAATATGTTTAGTTTCTCGTCAAAGTCTCAACACGTATGTGTCCTTTTAGATTGATATTTCAGACATGAACGACGAACGAAATTTATTTATTTTTGATGCTGTTGATCAACAACAGCAACAACATGATCGTATTTTTAATGAACTTCATGATCAACAACAACCAAGAGCACCACAGCCATTACCATTCCATTTGGACAAATTTTTTCATCGTCAAACATTGCTCTATTTTCAACATTATGTACTACGAATTCCGTTACTTTTAATATTTGATTATCTGTTTACAGAACAATTTACTGGTATCATTATTTCATTTATGAATACACTTCTGAACTATATTGGTAGTTACTTCTCAGAAATGAATGATTTGGCTGCGTCCACAAATATAAATAAAACAACATTAAGTGAAATGATAAATAATGAAACGACATTAACGTTAAACGCTACACTACCCCCATTTTTGACTGAAACATCAGCATTTGCAGCATCTGCCATCGAAGTTTTATTTGAAAACTTACACAATACATGTTTAACAATATCTACTATCACTTTATCCATTCTATTGCCAGTACTTGGTAAGAGATATTGTTATTTTTTGTTTTATTTACGTAAGAATAAACAATCAACAAAAGTACAGTACAAATAGGTTCTACACTTATTCTACTTTTTTATTATAGGTATTCTAGTTACATTACAATTGTTACTTTGCACTGATCGCAAATTAACAAACGTTTATAGTTATGTATTTTCTGGCTTTATTATTTACTATTATTACCAGATGGTCAAATTTGTTCAGTTAACATCGATGTTATCATTGAATACCTGTGTAATCCAATTTCTATTGTATTCAATGTATAGTCAAATTCAAACAATTAGACCGAACGTTCGAACAAAAAAAATACAAATGCTATTTGGAAAACTTGCTCCATTTCTCTTGATCTTACTGAAAAATGTTATATTTGTTAATCAACGAATATGGATGATCAATTATTTATATTATCTATGGATATTATTCTATTTATCTGAAATATTTGTATCTCATAGACATTCGATTTATAATTATTACATTCGAAAATTTATTTTCGATATCTATACAGTGATTCGTACACTTGGCTTACAGACATTATTTAATTTTGTTCAACAACGAGTTCGAATTATTACGTTATTAAAAATATTTTATTTTACAAAAATTATTATAATGCCTTTATGTTTTCGTTCAGTTTATGAAACACCTTACATTAATGGATCATTAAATGTACTTTCATCCTCTTCACAAACATTAAATTTAACAAGTATTCTTAGTCTACTTAATATGACAACGACACCTAACATAACGAATAATTCTGATGCCATTAATCGATCATTATTAATGGAAAATCTTATTCAAAAGTATCCAAATCTTAATCAACAAATAACTATCCAGGAACAACAAAAAGAAGCATATAATGTGACATTAATAAAAACAATTTATTTTACGAGTCTTTATTATGGAACAGAGACAATGTTTACTTTAATTAGTTTAACATTGATTATTTCCTTTGCTATGAAACATATATCCTATTATTTATTTCATTTACTTGACTTATGGAGTGATGACGTCGAGCAAATTGGATTTATTACTGGTGTAATGTTTTTTTTACTATTGACACAATCAAATTTATCACGTTTAAATCTTGATCAACGACATATACCATTGTGTAAAGCATTTGCTTTATTAGTGATTGCTCTTCTTCATTTTCTTCATACGCAATTAGAACCACAATTATTAAAAGTTGCCGTACAAAATATGGCAACAAAAATGATGTTAAATACTGACCAGCAACGACAACAACAGGAACGCGAATATGAGGAAATACCGCCTAATACAGATACTGAGAATCAGGTTCATCATCGGAGGTGAGAGTATGATAAGGCTTCTTGTTGTTTTATTTGGTAAAACTTTTCTAAGAACAAAAGTATGTTTCTTTTTTAGCGTATCATCTACTGCTAATATTGAACAACCTATTGAAAAAAAAAGTGAAACAAATGATGATAGTGTTTCGGGTCCATCTGTACCATTTCATACGATTCTCTTCCGTTCTTATCATCATCGTCATGTATATACCAGTTTGGGTATTAATTTATTTTTATTTGTTTATATTACTTTTTTATGGCGTATATGTACATTTTCAACATGGTTATTAGCCATAACCGCATTTGCATTAGAATTATCTATCCGTTTACTTGCCGCATTAGCTCAATACTCAATCTATGTTATGGATGTTAATAATCGATTAAAAAATTCAGAGAAATTTGATGATTATATATTTTATATAAAAACTATCACATCTTGTTTTGAATTTTTGCTTGGTTTATTTCTATTATTTAATGGATTATACATATTATTTTTTGAGTCTCGTGGAACAATAAGAGCATTTATGCTTGGTATTCATGCACACTTTAATATTCATGTTTCAGCTCGAAAAGGATACAGAATATATAAAAATAGAAAAACAGCATGGGATAATGTAAAAAAATTACGCTTAGCAACATCAGACGAGATTAACTCGTATAACGATATATGTAAGTAGTTTGTATAATAGAAGAAAAAATGATAGCCATACTCTAGTTTTACTAATATCATGACAATGCTTCTAAGTATCAATTTTGATTTTTTTTATTAATTCCTACACTTTAATCAGAAGCAACCTCAACATCTAATTTTTCTTGACAATTCTGTGTACTTTTTAGGTTCTATATGTCATCAAAAGTTAACTGAAACAAATACGTGTATCACGGAATGTCAACATTTCTTTCATCAACAATGTTTGAAAAAATGGTTTTATACGAACTATATTTGTCCATTGTGTCAACGAGTGATAACCAAAAATGACAACATTGGAACACAGCAGTGACGAAATTGCTGAAATACTGAACACGTCAGAGAACGTAGCTTTTAATTGAAATTTTGTTTTAAGCTGTATCTGTTTTTATTGTACGTGTTTCTACGCTATCATCTTTTCTTCTTCTGTTTATTGTGCCTTACCTAATAATATTTAAGGTTTTTTATCTGATGTATAACAAATGAAAGATGTGTGTATTCTTTTGTTGAAAACTCTCAAATTTTAACCACCAAGTTATCTGCACTTATTTCGAACCTCTTATTTTACTCAGCAGCTAACAGTGAACGTTTTCATAACCATTCTTTTCTTGTCCGAGTAGTTGTATTTTGTTAGATAAATCAAGATGAGTATGCAGCTATAATATTCTAAATAAGTCATATTTACTGTGTAAGTAATAACGTATCGTTTCTCTCTATTTTTGTGCGTAAGTTTGGTTTGGTTTATTGTATATGATTGTTTATTTTTTTGTTTGTTAAATTATTCGTTGTTGTCTGAGTAAAGTCAAAAATTTAAAAACTTAGTTTTGATATTAGAAAAGAAAGAGTAGATGGAATTCATCTTTGAGATTCATTCTTATGATGTACGATCTAAAAGCATATGTTCTTGCAATGTTAAAAAAATCATATATCCTTTTCCAGAATCTGTTAGAACAAAATTTTGATAAAATCAGGTACATTACAGATAGATTATGAAAGCTTGAGCAATAAATTTCTCTTTGGTATTCTGCTAAAAGCCCATTTTTCTGAAAAAGATTATTTAGCTCATAGTATTTCTGTCATCGGCTAAACTCTTTGTAATTAAAATTTATAAAATAAGCTCAGTTTTCACTATATCGTTGAAATTTCGAGGTCGATTCTTATAAGTTGAATTAAAAAAATTAAGAAATTTCATTTCATAGCTAAAAATTTACTATTGATTGCGAATAAGTGATTTTCTTCGAAAAGTGTAGAAAAACCGAAAGTGAGCAATGTTTAAGTGTGCTCTTAGACTCAAACTAATATTTTCTTTCTTTCTAATACGCTGTAGACTTTATCTAGATCGGTATCAGTGTGCATTTTAGATTCCAAAATGCATTTCCATTAATCAACATGGAAAGTTCTCCACAGAATAGCAATAGCCTTGTAAGTTGAAATCGGCTGTCGATAACATTAGAATTCACTTTCTTTCATTAAACGAAATAGAGCCGTCCACTAAAAGAGAAGAGTTTAGCCGCTTGTTTTTGGTCAAATGCCGATGTTTTACAATGGGTGAAAAGTTATTTACCTGAATTATTCGAAAAATATGGAGGATATTTTAAGGAACACAATATGACAGGTATGTCATGCCAATCCGGTTATCAATCATCATTTTTTTATATTGCATATTTTATTTCAGGACGAAGTTTGTTTATGTTAAATGATAATTTACTATACGAAATGGGAATCATTGATGAAGATGACAGGTAATACTAGAATAGAAGACTATCATTAAAAGACTACTGACAATCTGTTGTCAGGCCTTCTGGTCGCATCGGACCATAGTGTCCGAACAGCAATATGGTCCGATCGGGCAAGGAGTACGTTACCCGTTTTTACAAGATTTCCACACTTTTCTCTATCAATGGATTAGCGTATAAAGCAAAGCTATAGCGCATGTAAATACTTATTCCATGTGATAGAGCGGCAAAAACTGCATCAAACGGAGTTTTCCTTGGATGATACGATGCTTTCTTGTACAATCAGAAAACTGACCAACTATATTTACCTCAGGAACACCTTGCCTGATCGGGCAAACTTGCCCGTTTGAGCAATATTTCCCGATCAGGAAAGGACAAAAGATTGTCTGATAGGGCAAGATACCTTACCCAAATGTGCAATATCAATCTGGGCTGAACGAGCAATGTTGCCAAATCGGGCAAGATAAATTAAGCTATATTTGCTATTCGTCTTTTCCATAAAAGAGAAAGAAGGTTGAACACTTAACTTGTACGTTGTCTGCACGAATAATCAGTGCAGGAGGGGTAGAATGAACACTTCCCGTCCACTGGACGACTGATGATTCTCGAGATTAGATCTTGCCCGATTGAGCAAGCGACAACGGACTGACTGTTAGGTTTTTTTTAGAGCACTATTTCGGATTGAAATAGCGAAACTGAAGTTGAAATCTGATTTACTTAGTTTAAAAACCACACATCATAAAGGTAAATTCGTTATCGTTTATTCTCAGACCACTTCACTGCTGATTGTCATTGTTCTGTTTACAGGAACAATACGTTTTTTGGACGACAATTCTTCAAATGATACATCATTAGCTTTGAGCGATAATAATTGAAGAGTAAAAAATTTATACCACCGCACTAGCAATTGATCGAATCGTTTCGGTCTATCATATATCATATAACTTTATTACAAAGAAATTCATTAATACAACTTGGGGTCGCTGAAGTTCATCCCGATCAAATTGATTTTAAGCAGAACATTTTTTCTACTCTTCTGGGTTTATCACATGAGCTGATACATTAAATTTTAATGGTGACGGCTACGATTTTACTTAATAACATAGTGATTAATGTAGCTATTTTAAACTTCATACTTTATTTTATTAGTGATATTCCGACCTTAGTCGGCCATTTCCAAACATAAACTAACTGTACGAAAAAATGAAAACTAACTTTCGTTCTTTTTACTATAATGACTAATTTTACATGTGGATAGGAACGAACAAATGAATCATTCAAAAACTAGGACTACCTTCTTTTTATATATGCGCTTCAGTTCGTTTCTATCCACATGTAAAATTAGTCATTGTAGTAAAAAGAAAACGAAAGATAGTTTTCATTTTTTCGTACAATTAGTTTATGTTCGAAAATGACCGACTAAGGTCGGAATGTCACTAATAAAATAAAGTATGAAGTTTACAACAGCTGCATTACTATGTTATTAGCTGCTACGTTGTTCTGAAAATGGTTGTTCTAGCTCAGTCTTTTTAATCTTCATTTTTTTCTTTGTATGTAGTATAATCGTTTAAAAGAGTAACACTAAGTTTTTCTGTTACTTTTTTTTCATACACGTCTGAAGATTTTTGCTTGTATTCTAAAATAAGTTGTTGATGATGATACTTGAACGTGTTTTCACGTCGATATCAATCAGTATCAGCACAATAACACATATTATTTTGCTTGTCAATGAGAAATGTTTCTTTTGGACAAAAATAGATATTTAATTCATGGACTGTTATTCATGCAATAATGAAATATTCTGTTTGGTTTTATGTAGCCATCTCACATTTGATTGCTGTGATTCTTCATAGAAATAGATATTCTCTAATCTCAAAGCATTTTTACTTTGTTTTTCTCTGTAGAAGCGTCAATCTTCCACCATTCTAGCCAGTACTATAGTACACCGATTATGTACATTAATTCTTCTGTATGTTTAATTCTCAGTACACACATTACTTCACAAATGGACATATTGCGGTACTTTTTACGTTTAAGTGTATGATATGATCGAATTTTTCCAGAAAAACGAAAACTTCGCATTTAAACGCGAAATTAAACCGACAAAGAGAAGTTTAACCGTTGCACATGCGTTTCCTGTTATCTTATATCTTACTTAGCTGGGTATGGACAGATATGCAACAGTTTCGGTTAACCGATAAGCGATATAAGCGAAACCAATCATAACCGATGATGGACATAACAAAACAAAACTTTTTAATTGCACATATTCTTGAAAACACATTTGAAACAGTATGAAGGAAACATTTGTGAATGTTCATGATAGAGATGAGAATGTTCGCCAGTGCACATTGACAATGCGGATCTTTTTTTTCCAGTAACGCACTGAAATTTTTTTGTAGGACTGTGATGTTGTCTAGAATCGCTTGGCGCATCGAAAAACTAACAAGACTGATACGCGCTTTAGTGTCCCTGATACTGTAAATGCAAAGAAAATATCGACTGCGGTACTTTTTTCTCCTTTTCTCCGTTTAAACGCAAATTTTGTCCGACTGTTTTTTGTTTAAACAGCTACAAAAAATATTTGCGTTTAACCGGGACTATTTTTTTTTTCCTTTAAACGTCCATGGTGCTCTAAAAAGCCAAATAACAAATATAAATTCTAAGACTCGTGTGTTTGACATAAAGAGTATGGCATGCAGATGACCCTTTTTTTGGACGTCACAAATGTCATGAGCATGAAGAAAACTGAGGAACTTTTGAAATAACTAACAGGCTGGTGAGATTGAACCCAAAATCATCTGTGATGTAAACAGCCACTGAGTGCTTGTTGATGAATCCAAATAACTAGTTTTTTGGTATCAAATGGAAGGTGGAAAATTTGCCTCTTCAAGCTTAGAAAATAAGTTTTAAAATTACTTAATAGGCTTAGAAGATGTGGAATTTTGTCTAGTATCTAATGATATGTTTGGCTTAGAATAATAAAGTTATACTTTCTTTAAAGCTTACAACTACTAAACTTCAAAAATATAAATGTCAAAAACTATTACCGTGACCAGAAAGTAGCATGTTTGGGAAGTGGAATTTTCTGTCACCTTAGCTTTAAAAATTTGGCACTCTTTTGTAACAAAACTATAAACATTATTATTTTAGGAAAAGGAGCTCAACTTTAAACTAAACTAATTTGAGATTTTTAAATACGTATTTAGATTTAAGATCTATTTAGTCTAAGGATATTGTTGAAACAATCCCCACAACTAACAAAATGATATTAGTTGTGAGGTTCAAGTTGGACCTGTGGTTTACAGAAACAGACGACATCTACTTCCACCAATCATGTATCAAGCATCTTGTCGAATTGTTTCTCGTAGATAGTCATGGCTTCTCAACAGTGTATGCACTTACAAATTTGAATTTATACCTACATTAGTTTTAAACGTAAACATTGATCAAAAAGATTTTGTAAAAAAACATTGATCAAAAAGATTTTGTAAAAAAACATTGATCAAAAAGATTTTGTAAAAAAAATTCTTGTTCTGTTTAAGTAGTTTTTGATCGTTTTACAAATTCTTTTTCTTCATACATAGTCATGATATAAGCCGATATGTAATTTATCTCACATTTTTTATTGATCATATGGTAACGAATTTTAATGGATAAACCCTTTCCAGCCTGATGTTGCCATTTGGCAATACTTTTTACTGTGTTTTCGAAACAGCCGGCTGGAAAGGGTTAATAATAAGTTAGAATAGCTAGCTCGAGCTTTGTTTTGCCTGAACCATATTCAGTATCATTTGACCCTCAGTTTCATGTATACGTTAATCGTAAATATCAAACACCGTATTTATCTTCATGAGAAATTAGCGATATAATTATTAATTGATGTGCTGTTCGATTATGAAACATTAGGCAAGTTCGCGTAAGTCCTATGAAATAAAATGATCAAATTTTCTATCCAGTTTTAATGTTATAAATCGAAAACGTAATTAAAAGTATTAAGGGTCAGAACATTATGGCAAAGTTATAGCATCAGATGATGCTAATGAATGAATTTATTCAAGTGAAGTAAGCGAGAGATTCCACCGTTTGCAACCCGATGAACTCCGCCAAACAACAAACAGATACAAAACAACAGGCTGACTGAGAAAGGAGAAAAAAAAGCTGAACTGTATAAAAACGTATAAATCTAAAATAAAAACTAAAGAGATGAGGATTCGTTTTAATTTAGAATACTATAACAAAATTTTTCTGCTTGTGCTTTGCTAAAGTAAAGCTTATTTTAAATAAATATGAAATACTGGTATAGAGTTGACTTTTAACATTAGGAAAATAAGAATTTAGAAAGCTTTTTTTAAACGATAATAAAGGCGAACAATAAATGACCGATTCAGGAAGATGATTCCAGTTGACGACTGTGGACTAAACGAAAGAAGAATGCACAGTTTGAGAAAAGAAACTGTTAACGCAGAAGGAGTAGGAGCATACGTGGAGTGACGACAGCATAAAGAAGGATAGTGAGAACGTTGAACTGAATAAAAAATAGCAAGATAACTGAGACGATAATAAATTTTCACAAAAAACTGAACAAGTCTAAAATATTTGCGACGAAGAGAAAGATTTGAAAAGGGCTATAGAATAACAAAAGAAGTAGGAGCACAACAGTCAAATTTACGAGGAATAACACGTGCAACAAGTTTGTTTACAGAATCGAGAACGGAAAGAGAAAACAAATTATCATAAAGAGTGCAACAATAGTCAAATTTTGGAAGAATAGAAGAAGGATAACTTCGACACCGTACTTCTGATGAAGCTAATTCAAAGATACGACTCAATGTTCTCAGCTTGCGGTGACAAGCAAAAGCCATATCTCTGGTATGTTCATTCTACTACAGTTCGTGTGAAACAAGAACACAGACAAAAAACAGAAAAAAACAACTTTACACCAACTTTAAACAGCATTTATACAATCCTGAACATGGGAAAAGTCGTGCGGATTAGAAGAAGAAAGAGGAAGAAAATATCATCAGCAAATAGACATATTTCATAATTAGGCGGAAGAGGAAGATTGTTAATGATAAGAAATAAAGTCCCAAACACACTATCCTGTAGTACACCAGAAGAGGCAGAGGAAGAAGAGATAGAATCATTCACACGCATACACTGTAAACGGTTGGAGAGGTAAGGAGAAAGAAGAGAAAATAAACACTCATTTACATCACAATGAGACAGTTTTTTGAGGAGAAAAGAATTAGAAGCAGGCAAAAGCTTTAGAAAAATCAAAAAAGATATTGACACACTTCACATTAGTACACCAGAAGTTAGAGATAAAAATAGCAAAACATCGAGGGTAGAATGTTTAGAACGAAAACTAAATTGTTTATGTACAACGAGGTGTCTATATGTTTAAAAAAGATGAAAAAAAACAAAATTAGCAATTAAACGTTCAAACACTGTACAGACAACAGAAAGAAGAGAGACAGGATGATAGTTACAGACATTGGCAAGAGCGCCTTTTCTGTGAGTACGAACAATAAATGCAATTTTGCTAGAAAAGAGGCACAAGTTAAGAATAAAGTGAAGGTGGGATGAAAAAGAATTGAAAAAAAAGAAACACTAGAACAAAGAAAAGAAGAGAGAATTCCACCAATACTAACTGTAGACCCTTTATGCAATTTCAGGAGTAAACATTCAACATTTCGAGTAGAGAAACCAAGTCGACTCATTGTTGGCAAGAAGAAAGAGGAATACTTTAATTATATCGAACGACAACAGTTTAATGTTGAGCTTCATGAAGAAACAGTAAAAGTAATCATTAACTGTCATTTTCGATACAATAGGATAATTGTGTTTCACGTTGTTTTCCATTTGTAGCAGATCCAATAGATGAATATTTCATATGCTGTCGACAGAATTTGTCATTTATTGTCTATTTTTCTTTATAATTTACAAATACGTTTCCTATTAAAAAACGAAATAGCAAAAGATAAAAAATTTTTTTCTTACGCATGATCTCTACGAAATTCTCTGAACTTGTACACTTTTGTTTCAGAAAAATACACATTAAAATCCAAAATAAAGTGTTAAAATACGCTTTTATTCAAATTCATATCGGAAATACTGTTTCTGACAAGCATATAAAAAATGCTGCTGACATGATTGGTTGACCAATCTAACTATAAAAAAATGGAGCTGAACAACGAAATACTCGGTTTCCTTTGCATTATCTTTCCCCCTATATTGAATTATTTTGAATGTCTCTTTGCCATGCGAAGTTTTTTATTCGTACTTTAAAATAAAGCCTGCTATGAGATACTTTTAATATGCTAATTTTTTTTTAAAGAAATTATAGTGCACAATATCAATTTTATTTTAGATGTTATATTCCCAATTGTTTAATTGTACATTTTAAACCAAATGTTTTGTTTTAAAATGGTATGTATATTATGCTGATGTATCCTTAATCTTACATTCACTCAAAATACATTATTTGCATATTTATATTAGGGTCATGGAGTATCTGTCGATAATGGAAATAATGTTACCGATACCACTACAAATGAACATTTTCTTGGACTTGTTAACGTAAGAATCATTTGTCTGATACATTTAGCTCTTGTTTGTTTATTTAATAAATATGTTATTTTTTCAGTTTGGAAACACATGTTATTGTAATTCTGTACTTCAAGCATTATATTTCTGTAAACCATTTCGAGAGCGGTGAGTATTATAATCAATTAAAGTTTAGAAAAATAGATATCTTTAATTCTTGTTCTTTATTTTAGTGTATTACATTATCGTTTGCAACAGAAAAATAAGAAAGAAAATTTATTGACATGTTTAGCTGATTTATTCAATATGATAATAACAGTGAAAAGACGGACCGGTGCAATTCCACCAAAAAAATTTATTAATAAATTAAGAAAAGAAAATAGTACGTATCACAAACTGTTGACATTTCAATAAAATTTCTTCAACATTTGTCATTTTTTACAGGTACATTTGATAATGATATGCAGCAAGATGCTCATGAATTTCTAAATCATTTACTCAACACATGTGCAGATATTCTTATAGGTATGTCAATGATTTATATATCATTGTATTGAGCAGTTTACCAGCATACGTTTAAAAGACGTTTAAAAACTTTTATAATTAATCAGAAAGCCTTTTTTGTTTTGAGAATTACTACCTGAAAATATTTTTTTGTTTCTTCTCTCATTTTTGATAGCTAAGTGTTCATTTTGTACATATTTTTATTTGTTCTAGCTGAGAAGAATGAAGAAAAAGATAAATATGATAAACAACGAATAAAATTGAATGCAAACATAAATAACAATGGTAATCACTCCAATAATTCCCCACAATGTAATGGAACAGCCATTATTGGTGAACAACAAAAACAAGAACAAAATTGTTACAATAATATCAGTTCTCCTTCATCAATGAACACATCTACGGATGATACATGGATACATGATTTATTTCAAGGAACACTTGTGAATGAAACAAAATGTCTTAATTGTGAAACAGTAACAAATATAACTATCTGTTTAGTTAAACTAATGCTATATTCCTTTTTATCATTGTTCTTTTTAGTATAGTTCCAAGGATGAAAATTTTCTCGATCTATCAATCGATGTCGAAGAGAACACATCGATCACAACGTGTCTCCGAGTATTTAGTAATGTTGAAACATTAAGAGGTGAAAGTAAATACTATTGTGAAACGTGTTCAAGTAAACAAGAAGCAACGAAAAGGTAGATAAAATTCTGTCCCAGAAATGGAGAATCTACTTGTACGCTAAAAGAAACAACAAGCTAAAGAAAAACAAAAATTCCTGCGAAAAGCTTTTTGTCTACGCTAGAGCAAAACATATATTGAGCAAAAACAAGTTATCAAGTTTTATGATTTACGTAGGAATAAAAAAATTTATGAAAAAAGAAAAAGTGACAAATATACTGGATTAATTTAAAGGTAAATAAAAGACGGCAACAACAATAAGCAAATAAAAAGAAAAAAAAAGTTTATTTCCTAGAATCAAATGAATGATACGTCTTTTTGTTGAACAATGATTTTCTTTTTTCTTTAACTTCGCAAACTTCCGCGATATATCGTGTTCTTTGTGCAGCCTACAAGCAGATTTGCCACCTCTATAATCTATTCAAATGGAATCGGTGAAGACTGACGGCGTGTGTCTTTTTATCTTTTAGAATGAGAATCAAAAAATTGCCCCGCATATTAGCATTACATCTTAAACGATTTAAATATATCGAACAATTTAAACAATATAAAAAATTATCCTACAGAGTAGTGTTTCCGTTCGAATTACGACTTCTCAATACGGTAAGAGTCATTCTATATTGAATGATCACTTAAAATACTTGAAGGGTTGAATTATCATATTTGTCATACTCTGTTAGATGAACTATAGACGACTGTTATTTATTAATTAAGAAATTCATTTAAAGTTGTTTATCATTTCTCATTTTAGTCTGAAGATTGTCTAAACAGCGATAGAATTTATGATCTTGTCTCGCTGGTTGTTCACTGTGGAATAGGACCGTACCGAGGACATTATATAGCTGTTGTAAAAAGTCAAGGATCATGGATTGTATTTGATGATGAAAATGTTGATGTAAGTTAAATATTTATTTTCAGTGTAATTGTATAACTGTTTATATGCGTGTATATTTTAGCGATTAGATCCAACAAATTTCGAAGAATTTTACGGTGTTACACACGATCTAGGAAAACAGTCTGAAACAAGTTATATACTTTTTTATGAAAGTCGTGATCCAGTGTGAAGAATAAAATCTATGGAATGAACATTATTAATTGACCGAAAAACGAACAGTGACAAACAAATAATATTCCGTCCAATGGTGTTTGCTAAGACAGCAAATATCACGGTATCATGAATAAGAGGCAAAATACAAAAATAAATTTATACAGAAGATGCTATCGGCTCAACAAAAATAAAGATACTACTCTTAATAAAAGAGGAAAATACAGTTCGTTTGGTGAATTAATATAATACTTATCTTACTATAGTAAAATGAAAACGATGAACTTGACAAATAAAGATTTCTGGATAAAACAGCATCAACTATTGACTTTTATCTACATCACCAAAAGATAATTATAGTGAAACTAAATGAATATTTCGTTGCTAACTCATATTTTTTTTAATAAAAGAAAGTTAGCTTTTCGTTAAAATCGATTTTTTTTAACTGCCTGCTTAACTATATAGACTTTTCGTTATTTTTTCATTTGTATTTCTAGAATACAACAGTTTTTTTTTGTGCTACATGTCTGAATTGTAAGTTACATATAATTAAGCAACTCTTTTAACTAAAAACTAGAATGATCGTTTCGCAGTTTATGGATAATTATTCATTGTCCTTCGTTTGTGACTATAGTTATGATAATCGACTATTGCATGGCAGCAATTGTAATAAGATGAAATATGAAATACTTATTGGATGGTGTTGATGTTAATGTGGATGATTGTGAACATCGCTATGTAATTAACAATTCTAGTTATATATCTGTTTTTTTGTTTTTATGTATTCTAAATGTGACGTGTTTTGTTTTTCATGTCTTTTTTTGTCGAATCGACAAAAAGGACAATAATCGAAGTTCCGTTTGACAATTTGCATTCTTACTGTTTTTTTTTTCAATTGTGGTATCAAAGAGTGTTTGTTTTCTTGTTTTTTTTTTATTATTTTCTTACGAAGAAATACATTTTTGAAGTCTCATCTAAATTAAGAGACGAAGTATAGTCACTAAAGTGAAAGGATAGTTTCATAATATCGTTGGGATATTCTTTTTCTTGTATTAGAGCAAAGCTGATAGAGGAAAAAACGAATACTGTTATACTCTACTATTATGTTATAATATGAATTTAGATTGATATATGTTAAATAGTCAAGCAAGAAAAGATTAATCGACTTTAATCTTCAACGTTCAAATTGAGCAATTTAATTCACTTATTATTTATTTTAAAAAATCAATAGTAGTTAATAAAGACTTTACGCTCGTTTAGCTCAAGTGAAAAAGCTAAGGATGGATATATGGCTTCATCATGTCTGTCATTGAATATTACTACGTCCTATGTGAAAACAAGAGATAACCGATAAAAAACTATTCATCAGAAGTTGATATTATGTTAAAATCTTGAAAATACGAATAATGGTTTTTAACTTTTTCATTTATATGAAACGATTGAAAAACACGAATTCACTCATGGGCTTTTCTCAAATGTTAAAATAATTTATACTGTTTTCACAGATGGCACACTGCACCTTTTCATGTTAATTCTTGAAACGTGTCTTATTACATATCACTGGTATGCATGCATTTGCTTTTAACATTTGAAATATAAGCATGAAAAATTTTGTATCTCATTTTTTTGCGCTTCCACACAGTAAAAGTTTGCTCTAGTCTTGGAAGATAAGGACTTTTGGTTTAACCTTTAATCTTGAACCAGAATGAAATCGAGAATATAAATTCCCATTATATCATTCTGAAACTTAAACTATCAAAACACAAAATCAATCAAAATAAAGACTTTTTGTTTTAGAAAATTCTGTATGTTGTTAATACCTCCTCTGTCAAAAAGTTCTATTTTAAGAAAAGTACATGGTAAGATAGCCTCAGGCGTCCTCTTTCAAATGCGTTAATTCTTATTCAATTGAAAAAGCATTTTATTAGTAGTTTTTCACAAAATTCACTGAAAGTTTTGTGGAGATATTTATATGGTACGGTTTATAGATTAAAAAAAATTGTTGTTGTGGAAAAAACGTTCACACATACATACGCATATACGACATACATATAATTATAATTGCATCAGAATCTTCGTGGTCGAAAACCTATAGAGAACTAAACTTTAGGAAACGAAACAAATCAAGACGAGCAAAAATAGCATTTTGTGTTTTTTCGTTCGTCTAAGAATACGGATTACCAGATTTCTTCATCTCCCTGTTCTCCATCAGGGCGACCTTAAATTATTTGAAAAAGTAACGCAGACTGAACCTGTAAAGTAAAGTAGCTGCAGAAAGAATAGGTAATATATTTTTTTGTTCTTTATCAAATTTATTATTTACTAATGTTCCCATTAGCTATTCATCACATGTCAGACTTCTAATGATGTATTTTTCACATTTAGTGGATACTCAGATGCGTGACAAACTTGCCATCTCTAATTATCTTCATAAAGATTGTCTGATGTTTGTCAAGAAATAACATAATAATAATAGTGATGAGACTATGCGTTTATTTACTCCTTGTAGTGCAAAAAGGTCCGCACTGGGTGTTGAGAAAATTATTATATTCTACGATCTATTTTCTATTTTTGGCAAACGAGTATTGTTAAAAGTTTAAGAAAAATTTGGAAACTATTTTTTCGCCATTTTGTTTGAAAATTTTTTCGAAACTTTACGAAGTCCGCTTGTCAAAAATAGAAAATTTACTGGGTTATCGAGTGTGCTGAATATAAAAAAGCACTTTTTCTCGACTCTAAATGAACTTTATTTTTCTGTCGGTGATATGATAATGGGTGATTTCAAAATGCTTCTTATCTGTACTTATCCTACGATATTTTTTTAAACAATACAACAACATCTGGGAAACAAAGACGTTGAGCGACAAACGTTGGGAGAAAAAGAATAGTAACCGTAGAATACAGTAATTTTCTCGGCACCCAGTACAGACTTTTTTGCTTCCAATCCTGTATCAGATGGTGCATAACGATACTTTTACACCAATCAACAGAATCTCCTAAAAATCTCCAAGAATTTCCTCTAAATCTCATCCACAACAACTATTAAAAAATTTGTTAAAAAAGCAACTAAGACATAGAATAAATATACAAAGTTATGCAAGAAGCACTACAAGGAGTAAATAAACGCCTGGTCTCAGCGTCAGAGATGGCAAGTTTGTCACGCATCTGAATATCCACTCAATGTGAAAAACACATCATTACAGGTTTACACGATAACTATGATTATTTTACTCAGTCATTACAAATATTCTCTAATACTTGGAAGTTAAATTAAACGTGCATACAATAAATGTTTTCCTTGAACAAAGTGAATTAAAAATTTTATTGTCTAAGCGAACTACAATGATACACGCAAACACTTAGGATCAAATAGTGCTTTTTGTAAATTAATAGTAATACGTCAAATGCAACGACGTTTGTACCCTTGATAAATGCTGCGAAATTATCGTTAAATATTCAAGTGTAGAATAAAATTGTATTCTCCAATCAGGAATTAGTTTTGAAAGAAAAAGTTTTCTCTTGTCAAAAGTAATGAACATGGATGGAAGAAAACGTTTTTTTCTAAGGTATTTTATAATAAAGAACAATTTTAGTTTTCATCAAAAAACAAATCTCGTTGATCAGAAAGACATATAAATTAGTCACGATATTTTACGGTGGATTTCTCCTTAATAGTCATGACTGGTGGACATAAGCATGAAACACTTTTATATCACTCTTTTTTAGCATTCAATCACACTGTCAAAAGTTCTTTCTAGGATTAAAAGCGACAGATTTTCTTGCTCTAGAAAATTCTGCATATTCTACATGTTGTTGTATTGTTTAAAAAAATATCGTAGGATAAGTACAGATAAGAAGCATTTTGAAATCACCCATTATCATATCACCGACAGAAAAATAAAGTTCATTTAGAGTCGAGAAAAAGTGCTTTTTTATATTCAGCACACTCGATAACCCAGTAAATTTTCTATTTTTGACAAGCGGACTTCGTAAAGTTTCGAAAAAATTTTCAAACAAAATGGCGAAAAAATAGTTTCCAAATTTTTCTTAAACTTTTAACAATACTCGTTTGCCAAAAATAGAAAATAGATCGTAGAATATAATAATTTTCTCAACACCCAGTGCGGACCTTTTTGCTTCCAATCCCGTATCAGATGGTGCATAACGATGCTTTTACACCAAACAATAGAATCTCCTAAAAATCTCCAAGAATCTCCTCTAAATCTCATCCACAACAACTATTAAAAAATTTGTTAAAAAAGCAACTAAGACATAGAAGAAATATATAAAATTTTCAAAATTGTTTTCGTTTTGCCCCCGCTTGATTCTATATCTCTTCTTCATTTCACAATTTCATGGTAATAAGCGTCATATTTCTACTTCATCTTACCGCTTCTTATTTTTCTTTCATTTTTTTTTTTTTACTTAGAAGTTGAACATAATCGTAGTCTATCGTTCTCAAAGAAATATACAAGTATTTTTTCCGTACAAAACAAGTTTGTTTGTTTATCTAAGTGAATCATATGTACAGATTATTTGATTTCAATTAATCTTTTTCAAAAGAAGAAGATTAAAAAAAGTTTCACATAATTTGGTCCTTAATATTTCTCTCTCTCTTGTTAGGTGTGGTTTAACATAAGCGAAAATAAGAACTTCATAAAATGCAACCCATCTCTTTTTTCCATTCTGTTTATTCTATCCATAAATATTTGATACGTTGAGTTCATAGTAAATATTCTTATCCGAGTGGTGACCGTTTACTTATCAACAAAGATGAATTTTAGCGGTATAAGTAATGGTTACAACAACGATGAATTTACTACAACATTACCATTTACAATTACTTTTTCAATATTATTAATTATTGTCTTAGTCATTGGAATTATTGGAAATTCATTAGTTATTTATGTTGTTCTCAATTATGGAAAATTAAAAACGGTGACAAACACTTATCTATTGCATTTGGCCATATCTGATTTAATATTTTTGAGTGGTGTACCATTTTTGGTTGCTGTCATGATAACCAAATATTGGATATTTGGTTATTTTTTATGTAAACTATTTTTCTTGACACAAGGAGTTAACCAGTATACATCAATTATGATATTGGCATTGTTAGCATTTGACAGGTACATAAAATAGAAGTAAAATAATTTCCAGTATGAGCCATGGGTAAAGTCAAAGCGCTTGTCTTAGTCAGCTCAGTCTTAAATGATATACTTTTTTCCTCGTATTTATTTAAATTTTTTCCGAACGCAGGTACTTGGCTGTATGTCATTCATCAAAGTCACTTGTTTGGAGACGTAAAATAAACCCAACGTTTTTACTCCTTCTAACTTGGATTTTATCAATAATTCTGATGTTACCCATTATAATTTTTACTCAATTAGTAAATCATAATCATAATCATTATTCATGTAATATCATTTTACCATTTAAGCAGACACTGTTACTTCTTATATATTCATTATATACATCCGCCATTACTTTTCTATTTCCATTGATTCTCATGACTTATTTTTATATACAAATTATCCGTCATTTGAAGAGAAACATTCCTCAACATCGGCGACCACAAAGAAGTTTGCGTACAAGACGAAAAGTGTCGGTACTTGTTTTAGTCGTTATTGCTGTTCATGTGTTCTGTTGTTCACCGTATTGGTGTGTACAATACGTTATTGGTGCGTTAACAACAACCGAAGTTTTATCTGTTAGGCTTCATTATCTTATTCCAGTTTCAACTGTCGCTCAATTTCTGTTATTTGCTAATAGTACAACAAATCCTCTATTGTACGCATTTTTCAGTGAAATATTTCGTTCAAGTTTCAAACGTGTATGTTGTATAAAGGACAGTAACGATCCTGACGAATTGACTAATAAACAAAATCTATTGATGAACAACTTAAATAAAAGTAAAAAAATCCAAATAAAATTACCAACATCATTACATAATAATAATTTAATTCGAAGAGCAACTAAGAAATCTCAATGTATTAATTTGGATCCACCCGACAAACAACAACCGTTACGAAGAAATTCAAGTATTTTTACATCAGAAAAATCAATTTGTTCAGAAAAATCAGTTTGTTCAGAAACATAGTGACTATTAATGTTGTGATTATCTATCGTATTTGAACGTAAATAAAAGGTGAAAAAATAAACTTAAAATTTTGTTACTGATGCTTAAAAACGATTAACAGATCGAATGATACAGCATCATTCATTGTTTGTTTGTTAAATATTTAGTGTTATAAACAATACAGAATTCTTATTTCTTTGTCATTCTTTATATAAACTGATTAGCACTGGTTCCAGTACCTTTGAGGCAGTCCGGTCGACTTTCCAAAAGCAGTCGGGAGTTCTCCAAAAGATGCTACGATGAAGTTTAAAGAAAAGTCTAAGAGACTCTCAACTTGAACATCTAAGATAGGCTAATCATTAAAGATTTTTCATTCATTCTGATGAGAGTTGAAGCGTAACCTGTTCTAGAATCTTCGTTCCTTTTCGTATAGTTTCTTCGTTAGAAGTTTTTCATGGAAAAATAAATAAGACACAGGTTGAATTTCTACTGTTTTTCTTAGGTATATTCCTGATTCATCGACAACGTTTTGGGCGGGGAGATGGAGGATGTCTGTGAGCTGTAATTTTGTTTATAAATTAGAGAGCGAATATATAATTTGTATTTTTGATTGTTTTTGTGGAAAGAAAAAGCAGATATGTCTGTTAACAAGAAAGTAGTTGGCGCTTTGATCAGATCCTTTTTGGCTAAAATAATTTACACTCTACTTTTCAGTTTACCTTCTAAAAAACATAATTTTCTTCAATACTTCGTGTAATGGTTACGTATATCAGACTATCAGTTAGTCAACAATTGCACTCTTAACTTATCATATCTGAAAACTTCTGCTGTCTATTTTAACCCGTTTATACCCACTGTATCCTCAAAGATACACCTGTTAAGTGTCGAATATCTATACAATTAGATTTTCAATACTTTGAAGTGTATCTAGTTAATATTTTAAGAACAAAAAATCTTAATTTCAGTCGATAGTAAAAATTTGGACATAAACAGATTAAATAGGTAGAAATAGAAGTTATTTGATAAACAGCTTTTTTCTCATCAGTCATCAATCAAATAGATAAGTTTCTAATCTATATTGAATGAAAGACAATGGCAAAACGAGATGTTCTATTAAAAAGCAAGATGAGAAACGCCTTTTATCGAGACGAAGTTCTAGCATCCGTCGTCTTTTTTCATGTATTCTCCATTTTAATTATCAATATACATACACATCAATTTTATCAAGATAACTGACATATCCATTACCTTTTCCATTCATAATTATAGGATAATTAGAATATTCCGCGTTTTTTCTAGAAAAAAATCTAGACCATATTTTGAATTTCAGTTTTAAGTATATTAACGTTCAAACTTCACGTGTAAAATTTTTATTTCAAAACTATTTTATTTCTCCTGTTCTTATGATAGGTTTTGTGTTTTTTCATTGTTTGTGCGTGCGGATGAGTATATTTAATATAATTGAAAAACATTTTTGTAAAATCATTTTACATAAAAAGCAAGCTTTCGATACTTCACAGTATCATCATCAGGCTAATATGACTTTGAATTTACACGAGAGATGATTATATATACTAATTGAAACGGGTGAGAACGAAAATACTAGAAAAACTTAAACATAGAAAGCTTGGTGATGATACTGTGAAGTATCGAAGCTCGCTTTTTATGTAAAATGATTTTACAAAAATGTTTTTCAATTATATTAAATATACTTAGTTTTATAAGAAACGTAAAAAAGTCAAAGAATGTCAATATATGTGTGGATGAGGGTGTATAATCAACGTTTTCTCATTTTTTACTAAAGAATCTATAAAATAAACAATATGTTGAATATCAAGGATGATATCTCTTATACAAAAAGATTTTGTACGCTTGAAAGACTTCTTTTCAGATAAAAAGTTTTGTGTATCTCATCATTAACAGGTATACAATATAATACAATTAGATAAAAGCCATTAACACTTTTCACAAAATAAAAAAGAAATATTGTTTTAACAAGGCAAAAAAATGTAACCTGAAGATACCCTAATTCTGGTGCCAGAGAACGTCAATGATACTCATGATAGCCAACGTGTGGCAGTCGATATCTCAAATCTAGAGCTGAATATATAAACGTTAGAATCCTTTAACTTAATCGACGATCAGAAAGTTTTAAATTTGAAATTAGCTTAGATAAATAATAACGTTACAAATGTTTTTGTTTAAAGAAAAAGTTTTATTTAGAGCAAAATCAAATAATGTTAGATTATGTATTCTCTGTGGCTAACAACGTTTAAAACGATTGTCAATGTGCTGTTGTTAGAGAGTAAGCGTGAAATGAAAACTATAGGTTAATATACAACAGCAATGGTTAATTAATTCTCACTATATTAAGCCTTAAACTATTTTTTTGGCGCGTAATATAAAAATATTGAGGGTTCTACATAGTTAACTAAAATTCATAGAAAAAAACACAACATCTTTATGCTGATTGACACTATCCTCTCGAACAATTAACTATAGTTTATGAACAAATTTTTCTAAATATTTTAGTTTTAATTCTAAGTTTTGATCATCGCATAATGAAAACAGAAAGAAAGAAATTTCAAATGAAGATTCGAGTCAATGACAATATATTATTAGCAATTGAAAGTTAGCCGTTTGTTTCTTGTATTGCAAAATGTGTTTTGTTCCAGAAAGTAAATGATATAATGAATGAATATGTGATGAAGGTATGCATGTATCCAATGTCTTTCATACAAAGCTATTATTTACGAAATGAAAAATTATTATTCATACAAAAAATATCGATCACGATCACTTCCCTCATTTCAACGTACATGGAATCATTATTTACCACATCATCGTCGAATAAAATATCAAAAAGTCTACACGAGTAGTAGTGATAGTGGAACAGATTTACCATTTGATTATAATAAACATCTTGCTTTAAACGGAAATTTTACTCGGTCTCACATCGATTTATACGAACATGGTAGGTTAATATTTAAATTGGGCTCATTTTTAGATAATCATTTTTTGTATAATAAAATGAGTAATAGTATGTACATTATTTTTATTTTTAGCTTGCCGTGTTCAATTATTAAGAAATGGTTTATATGTGGTTGGTCGTCGTGAATTTTATATTTATGTTGCTATCACTTTAATATCAACAATTATACTTGCTATAATTGATCGTCCCGTCTACACCGTACCACTTGTTCTAGGAGCAACATTAATTTATTTAACATATCGTTGGTATCAAGATCGTACATATAAACGTGCTATTGGTGATGCTATGCATTATGCTTCAAAGTTCAGAAAACGAATGAGACGCCGATTTAAACCTCATCATTCTTCCTTAACGCGTTCACCACAAAAGTGGATCAATGATCCAGTGAGATCACGTTTTAGAAATACAAATGAATCATCACCATTACAGTCACCATCACTGTATTATGATCAAATTCGAAAGAAGAAAAACAAACGACATAAAACACGGCAACGAACAAATTCGATAACATCGATTAATTCGGATGATGATTCTGATTTACAACGAAAAAATGTTCAGAGAAATATAAAACGATCTCATAATAGAAATTCACATTCTTCATTTCAACGAAAATCACGATCAAAATCTATATCAAAATATCAGCCCTCTCCAACATCTACCTTAACTATTTCTTCATCAACTGATGAAAAAGAGATATTGTTCAAGAATTTAGATCCAAAAGAGAGTGGAGCGTTTCATCATAATTATAATGAAAATTGTCACTGTCCAGATGATATGTATGAAGAAAATTGTTTTATAAAGGATTATCCCATGTATGAAACGTTTGAATGTAGTCAATGTCATCGTCATAATGATAAAAATATCAGACGTTAAAATCAAGTATTGTTATTCATTTCTAAAATAGATCAGTTTGTTGGATAACTTAGATAATAAATGAAAAGCAAAGAAAATTAGTTTAATTGACCATAGAATCATTACTGTTTGAAACGCGCTTGTATCCTTTACATACAAAAAAATCCCAGCTGGAAGACGAGAGTAGAGCTCAGCACAGTCGTTTTTTGCTTTGCTCATTCATAGTGACTTATTCCTCTTATATTTCAACATTTTTGACACTAGAAAATTGCAAATTGCTTAAGTTGTACTATTATCGAAAAAAAACAAGCAAGAGCCTCTGTTAGAACAGAAAGAGCTAAACAGTTAGGTTCTTAACCCTTTTGTACAGAAAATTTTGCTCTATCATCTCAAAGAATTAAGAAAAAAATAATCTCTTTTCGGATAATGATTTCTGAATTCTGATTGAAATTTCTTCATTTTATCGGTGAGTGTAAAAGAATAAAACAACTCTCTCATTCAAAGCCCAATCAAACCAACTTGAAACGTTCAAAAAATACCAACTAAAATCCTTTATTTTCTAGCCTTGTCAACATGTAAATCAACTAAAACTATATTAATAGAAGTAGGCAACGATTTTTTCTGCCAGTTTACAACCTGTTAATTGTCTAAAAGCCATCTAGAAACTGTCTGATTTATTGATCGTTTTTAGATCTTAAGCAACTGCTGTGTAAAAACGCCCACTAAATTATAAGACTAAAAAACAGCCAGTTAACTGTCTGTAAATGGGCCGTTAACCACAAAGTTAACCAGCAGTTTTTTGGCTTTTCTGTTTACTGTCAGTTATTAGACGATATTTTTGCAGCCCTAAAAACGGTCAATAAACTAGACAGTTTTAGGTGGTTTTTAGACAGTTAACACGTTGTCAACTGGCAGTTTTTAGGCGGACTGTAAACTGGCAGTTAATGAGCAGTTTATTGCCCGTCTTTTTCTCCTGGAATGTAAATCAACTAAAACTATATTAATAGAAGTAGGCAACGATTTTTTCAATAATTTCATAACTAATAATGCAGCTGTGTGGAATTTCATTCTTTTTAACTTTACTTGTTAAGAATCAAATATTCCGACCTTTACGGTCATTGTCAATGATAGAAAACTGTACAAAGAATCTTTGATGATGCGCGCTCAAGCTCAAGTCTTGAACGAAACAGATCGATCCTTGCCTTTATACGTCTTTCCAGACGGTTTGGCAATAAGAGACTAATTCCACCACACACTAATCAGTAATTTTGTTTTTTCATCTTTTGATAATGTTGTCTAGGTGCATTCTTTTCCTTTTTCTTTTTTTAAAACATGCGCATTTTTTTTAAAAACGAAAATGTATACAGTCTAGTCTTGTCTTGTTCTGTCAAGTAAAATAAAAACATTTGTCTGTGTCTATCTATAATTCTGTTACTTTCATTCTTGTGTGCAGTTTTCTATCATTGGCAATGACCGTAAAGGCCGGAATATTTGATTCTTAATGGATAAAGTTAAAACGAATGAGTTTTCATTTATTGATAACTATTATCCGTTTCTGAAAACGAGGCGGCTAGGCAGAATGCTTATCACATTTGAACGAAAAGGGATGGTCCAAGGTCAACTGGTCGAATCGGGGCTCTCGGGAAAATGCTTTTAGCTCCTGAATCGTAGATATAGAGAGTTATAACTGGTCTAGAATTGTAGATCTCGGTTCGGACTATCAATTGCACTGTTTGAAAATCAAAATCCATCGTACGGTCCAGGAACGGCGGTCACATAGACTTTACATCG